CTGGTGGTCCAAGTCTGTCACAAAATAAAATATTTTCTGAAACTATCACTAAAAATGACTGGATTTTGGCCTAGCCCAACAAACAGATAAAAACCTGCTGCTTCCTTTGTTCTAAAAGCAGCACGTGGTCACTGTCTCAATCAATTGCTTTCAAAGTCAAACCCTCCATTTTGGCTGAAGGATCTCCCACTCAATAAAACTTTGCTTGTGCAGAAGTCCCATGCTTGCAATATTTGACGCAGTCTCATGTCTACCATCTTTGACTCAAAAAAGTCCCTTTACCATGTAAAGACCTTTGGCTCTTGTGAACAACTCCACCTTTGGCCTTTCTTCCCTTCCTAGGGGTAGGAGTGAGAGGTTGGGTTTGAATGGGGCTGAAAGGTCCAACCTTCCAATTATATGTTTGGTTTCTCCAGCAAGCACCTCCCAGCCACTAATAATTTCATTAGCATAAAAATATACTTCACTGGAGGAAAGATAACCTCTTTACTAAGTGGTATTGGAAAAGTGGTTATCCATATGCAGAGGACTGAATCTAGAACCAATCTTTCAGCATGTAGTACATCAAAATGAATTAAAGAACTAAATGTTAAAGTAGAAATACTTAACCAGCCTGAAGAGAAAATAAGTAAAACTCTTAAAGTCATAGGCATAGGCAAGGACTTTCTGAACAGCTAGTCCCTAGCTGGACAGGAAATAGTACTGAGAATCACCAGATGGAATTATAACAAAGTAAAAATATTCTTCACTGCAGAAGAAACTACCAACAGAGTGAAAAGACAACCTGCGGAATGGGAACAATTTTTCGTGCCAGCTGTTCCACAGACAAAGCAGTCATACCTAAAATACATAAAAACTCAAAGAAATTAGACTCACAAAAGAAAAGACCAATCAAAAATGCTCAAATGAAATGAGTAGACACTTTGCAGAAGAAGTACAAATGGCCAATAAATACATGAAGAAAGGTTCAACATAACTGACCATTCAAAAAATATAAATTAAAACAACACTGAGATTCCATCTTACTTGAGAAAGAAAGGCCATCATCAAGAAATTAAACAATAACAAGTGGTGGAGAGGCTGTAAGGGGAATAAGGAATGCTTCTACATTGTTGGTGGGTATGTGTACTAGTATAATCACCTGTGAAAATCAGTGTGGAGATTCCTTAAAAACTGAAACTAAAAATTCCATTTGACCCAACTATTCACCTTCTAGGTATCTTCCCCAAAGAGTTTAAGGTATCATATTGCAGTGATACATGCATATCCCTGTTTATGGCAGCATAATTCATAATAGCTAAATCTTGGAAGAAGCCTATAGTTTCATCAACACCTCTGAAGTTTGGCTTCATAGGGGAAAGAATATCAGGCTGAAAACCAGAAGACCTGCACTCTACTCATTTATTTATATGGCCTAGGGAAACATTATTTGACCTTTCTGATTCTCAGTTTTCTAATCTGCAAAGGAAGGGTAATAATATCTGTCCTTGTCCCGAAAGGTTGCAGTGAGAGCATTAAATGAGAAAATGCACCGGAACTGCTTTGCATGTCTAAGCACGCTGTATCAATGTAAACTAATTTGTTTGTGTGTACTTCTACATCTCTTGAAATGCCTGTAAAAATATGTCACTTGACAATAACAGAGGGGAAGGCAGAATGGCCCCACGGCTATAGTTTCCCAGCCAAAAGGGGAGACAAATATCTGTTTTAGAATTAGGATTAAAAGCAATTCACTAGAAGAAAAATGATGATGTAGCTCTTCTGTCTTTTGGCTTTCAGGAAATTCTAATTAATGTGCTCATCACCTCCCTCCTGCAGGGCATTTTCATCAATCAGAAAGGGCAAGTTCAGGTTTAAGAATAAACAGACTATTGCCTCATCCCAGAGTGGAGAAGGAACTTTATTCCATGGAACTTTTAGTCTTCTTTTCTTAATAGGCTTAGAAAAATGTGGAGCGGGTATGAGGAATGAGGGAATTTATTTTCCAAATGTGAAATTCAGCCTCTGCAGAGGCAGCGCAGAGGCACAGGGCAGAACAGAGGCAGCATGAGATTATCAAACTAAAACACCTGAACGTCAGGAAGAGTATTCTGAAAACAGCTGGCCTTGTGTGTGAAAGTTTATCTTCAGATAAACTAATAAGGGTGCCTCTTTATCTTTCCTGCTTCTCTTCTATCTTTCCTCCTTAGCCACTGCTTTCCTCTAGCCCAGGGATTCTTAACCTCAGCACTAGTGGCATCTCGGGCTGCACCATCCTTTGTAGCAAGGAGTCAGTCTGCACGATAGGGTCTGGCATCAACCCTCATCCGTTTCACAGATGTCAATAGCAGCCCCCCTGCCACATCCCATAATGACATCTAATCCCAGACATGGCTCGCTGTCTCCTAGGGACACAATCCTCCATCAAAGACTCCTGCTTGAGTCTTTTCTTCCTTTGCTTGGAGGCCTAAGCATTTACCACGTGGATGACACTTGGCCAGGCCATTCATGTGCTTGTGTAGATGCCTCTCAACATGTGATGTACATAATAATCACCTTAGGAGTCCCTTAGATCATGTATTCTGACTCAGGAGCTTTGAGAGGGTCTTGAAATTTTTCATTTCTAACAACAGATGTTGCTTCTTCTGGTTTTTGGACCACACTTTGAGAGCAAGGCCTTTTGTCATAGCATCCTCATGCCCTGTGGGAAGTTCATTTTGCACATGCAGCAGCTGAAGTCAGAGAGCTCCTAAGTGGCTCACTGCCTCCAAAGCCTGTGCTCATAATTGGCAACCTCAGTTGACACTGGGCCAGCGTCCTTGGGTTTTTTCCTTACTGTCCCGTCTCAGGTAACGGAGCTGTGACTGGCTCATCTGAGCCTGAGGCTGGGCATGCGTAAGCCTGGACTTTCTGGGTTCCACTTTCCATTCTTAGTGAGAGGTACTTCTGACCTGGGTGGATATACTGGGGCCTGCAGAGGTGGATCCCTGCATTGTGCCTCTGTTCCAGCCTGCCCGGGGACCAGCTCATTTTGTGTGCCCTCCCACCTGTCTGCAGGCAGCGGGCTGGGACTGAGCTGCCCTGGGGCTCCCTTTCACCCAGCTTCCTGCCCAAGCTGTCTGGACTTCTCACCTTCCCCTCACTGATTGCCCCACACTCTTCCTTAGTCTTAATCCTGTCTCGGTATTGCATCTCACATCTTCTTCCCATAATGGGCAGGGAATTTTAGGAGTGCCCTGGATCCTGAAGGAGAGAAGTGGTACAGGTCCCTGTCTATGCCCACTAGAAACAGAGGACTCACGTTGGTGGCCATGACAGCAAAGCAGCTGCTGGTGGGGACTGTGCCAAGTGTCAGTGTGTGCCACGAAGGGACAGGGCCTAGTGCCAGTGAGGCAGGCAGGTCTGCTGAGGACTGCTGCCATGTGTCCCCTGGTCATTCTTCTCCCCTGAGATGGGGCAATTTATCCTGCCCATCACATCGCATCCCTGTTCCCATTTCTCTTGCCTGGACCCAGGTTTAGGGACAGTCAGATTGTGCATGAGGGTAATTTAGAGCAGAGCACCGCGAACTCTGTAAAGGGCTAGGTACTGAATGGGTTAAGTTTTGCAGGCTTTATAGGCTCAGCTGTAGCTGCCTGTCTCTATCCCTGTAGCACAAAAGCAGGCAGAGATGATGTGTAAACAAAAGTGGCTTTGTCTCAATAAAACTTTAATGATGGACACTACAATCTGAATTTCACACATTTTTTCCTTCCTTCGTTCCTTCTTTCTTCCCTCTCTCTTTCCCTCCCTCCCTCCTTCCTTCCTGTCCTCCCTTCTTTTCTCCCTCCCTCCCTTCTTTCTTTTTTTTCAGACAGGATCTTGCCTTCTGGTGCAGGCCAGTCTTGAACTCCCTAGTGTCCCAGGTAAGTCTTGACTCACAGTCTTCCTGCTTCAGCTTCCTGAGAGCTGGGATTACAGATGTGCACCACCATGGCTGCCAAATTTCACGTTTTTCATGTGCTACAAATTATGGTTCTTCTTTCCACCCCCCCTTAGTCATTTAAAAATGTAAAAGCCCTTCTCAGGTTCCAGGGCCAAGCTATCTGTATGTTGGCAGTAGCAGCCTGGACTTGGCCTGTGGTCCGCAGTTTCTAACCCTGATCCAGAGTCTGGTGCTTCCCAGGGACATGGTCAGATAGGTACGGGAACTGCTGGGCAAGGCAAAGCCAGTCCCCTTCCCACTCTCCACTGCTTCTCAGGCTTTACTATTCTGTAGGGCGTGATGCTGTCCAGGGGAGCTGGCACACCCCAGCCACACTCAGCTTTTCTCACAGACCTGAAGGATGCCTTTGGCTCCTGATTGGCAGGGCAAGCAGCTCTCCAGACTGAGCTCTGTGGAACATGCCTGGGGACACTGCTCTGGCAGACGCCCTCCTTCTACAGGTGAGGATGCTGAAGCCTGGGCGCTGTGCTAGCTAGAGATGTGGTCACCTGTCCTGACTGCACCAGGGCTCCTGACACGACACAGTGCCCAGCCAGCCCAGCACGAGGGACCCCGGGCTTCCGGCTTTCCACACACTTCCCTATTCTAACCTATTTTGGCTCAGTGATTATAGCCCTTAAAATTCCTGACACTGAGGGATTAGGGGAGAGGTACTTAGAGCTGGTTCTTAGCCCCTGGGCTACTGTCTCACACAAACAGGCATCATGTCAAGGTGTTTTCACAGCAGGAGACTGGCATGCTCAGCATAGCAGTAATGTGTTTACCTTCTTTACACTTGCCCTGTGGGGGAGGTAAGAGATTTGGCAGGGCGGGGGGTTATCAAGGATTGAACATGGTGAACACTGAACTGCATTCCCAGCCCCTTTAAGTTTTTTTCTTTTTCCTTTTGAGACAGGGTCTCACTAAGTTGCCCCAGCTGGCCTCAAACTCATGACCCTCTTGCCTTAGCCTTCTAAGTAGCTGGGCTTCAGTTTTTTTTTTAATTTTAATTTTATAAATATAGGAACCACTTCTCAAGGAAGCTAGGAGACTTGACCCCAGTTGCCAAGGCAGTGTCAGGGTCTGGCCTCGGATGCAGGTCTTGCCTCACCCCAGGGACCTCTTTCTGCCTTGTGCATGTGGTCTGAAGGTGACGGGTGACTCGGCAGGAAAGTCATTCTCTGGGGAAGCATGACCAATTTCCCTTTCTCCACCTCTCTCTTCCTCTGCCCCTCCCCCAGCCCCCTTATATACAAACCTCCCAGGTGCCTTGTCTGCCTGTGCACCTTTATCTTGGCAACAGTTTCCACAGCTGGGCAGGTCCACTCAGGACCGGTGTGTGGTGAGGGGCTGCGCTGTCTTCCCCTTCCATAGGAAGAGCCAGCTCCCTGCAGACAGCCAGACGGCCAGACAGTGAGTGTCACCTGCAGGACCTAAGGTGAGTGGTGAGGGGTTCTTGCGTCCTTTAGACTGTGCCTTATTTGGGGACTGGGGTCTTGGGGCAATGGTGGAAGTCAACATTCTGAACGTTCCTGCAAGGACAAAACAGCTTTGGAGAGGAGCTGCTTTCTCTAGTCTATCCCCAAGAAGACTTTAGGCTAGAAGAAGGAAGCCCAGGATGATGAGACCCATAGATGCACTTCAGGAGATGCTACAAAGCCCATAGAATTTGAAAGTGCAGGATGGGACTATGTTCCTGGACGTGCTGGAGCACAGAGGACCTTGGACACTGGCCCAGGACACCCCTTCTTTATCCTGGTGTTGGCCGTCATTCCAAAGCCAGTGCTCCTGCGGTCTTTCTGTCCAGTGTGGGGCAGGTGACAGGGTGTGAGAACAGCACCTGGAGCAGGACAGTTCTTCAGTCACTGTGGAGGGAAATAAGGAAAAAGGGGGAAGGAGAGCGAAAGGAAGGGAAGCAAGCAGGAAGAAAAGCTGGGGTAAAGGAGGCCCTGAAAAACATTCCCTGCATGCAGTTATTGGTAATGGTGCTGAGTTCCTCTGCTGGGAGGCCGTCCACCCAGTCATTCCCAATGGGCCCTTTAGAGAAAGTTTTACAGGTGATTCATCTGGAGCTCTGACTCTTCCCTCTGGTTCAGTTACTCAAAAAGTCAATTCTTAGAGCTGAGGAAGGCTGTCAGCTGAGGTGGAAGAGTGTGTAACCCAGCCCTCCTTCTGTGCCTGTCCCTGTGGGCCAGGATGAACCCCTCTGCTCCCTTATAATGAGGAATCAGGGCTGGTCAGCTCTGCAGAGGAGACGTAGACCTGCCTAAATGTGCCTGGCGACTTCTGGGCAGAGCTGAGACAAGCACATGTGTAGGGACGCTGTCTCTCCTGGGGCTGGGCTTGCCTGGATATGTTCTTTGGCAAATGAGAACCCCCCATTCGTCCTTCCTGATTACATTCCAGCAAGCAGGTTGGAAGCAGAGAAATGTAATAGAGAAGGAAGGAGGTTGAATGTGTGGAGACAGCTGGGCATGGCGGGGAAGGCAAGACCAGGGGGTATAAGGTAGAGGTTCCAGAAAGATCCTTGCCTATCCCAGTGCACCCAGCAAGGCCACAGGATTGCAGCCATCTAACCTGGGGACCCCACACCTCCATATACATCTTAGTGTATTTTTTGTTGCTCTAACAATATCTGACACTGTTTAATATATAAAGACAAGATGTTTATGGGCTCATATTTCTGAAGACAGGCAAATTCAAGATCTGGTGGTCACATCTGCTCATGTCCTTGTTGGGGGAAACTGCAGAGTCCCACGATGAAGAAGGGAATCCCATGGTGAAAGGGGCACTTATATGACAGAGGCAAACTAGCTTTCGTGGCAGATCTGCTTTCAAAATAACCCCTTAATCAATCCACCAATCCATGAGTTGATTAATCCATTCCTGGGGACTCATGGCTCAATCCCCTCTTAAAGTCCTGCCTGGTCCCACCTCTCAGTTTGTTGCAATGGGGATCAGATGTCCATATGAGTGTCGCTGGGGACAGTCACACCACAGCACTGCCCTGTATCAGTGGAGCAGAGCTTTATTCTGGGGTGCATCACTCCTGCTCAATGACCTCCCATTCTCTCAGCCTTTCCTTTGCTGCAGATGGGTTCTTGGCTCCAGACAGTTGCCTTCCCTTGCCTCTCTCTGGTCCTGCTTCTCTGGAGCTGCCTGCCAGAGCTCCAGGGTCACGAGTTCCAGTTTGGGCCATGCCAAGTGGAGGGAGTTGCTCTCCCAAGACTGTGGGAGGCCTTTCGGACCATGAAGGACACTGTGGTGAGTGGAGTGCGGATCTGTGCCTAGACATGGTGGGAGTCCCTGGAGGGTAGGGGAGGACTGGATTTTGTGACTAGGAAGCCTTCCAACTTGCCCATCACTTTGCTACAGAAGAACTCTGGGAGGTCAGGAGCCATCACAGCCTCAAGTTACACATGAGGCAGCTGAGGCTCAGAAAGATGTTGTCAGCCCCTAGTGAAATAAAGAGCCCAAGGGAAATGAAGAAAGCTGGATCTTTCCAGGCTTCGTGCTGGAGAGACTCTGGCTCCATGTTCACTCAAGGACTAGGAGGTGAGGTTGGGTGCAGAGGGAGCTCCCAGGCCTAGCCCTCGGCCGCCAGCCCCTTCCTCCTCACCAGGAGCAATGCGAGGAGGCAAACCTGGCCATTTGGGTTTGGTTTCCTCCCGCCTCAAATGACCAAGGGAATCAAATGGGTCCCTCACCATGCCTGTATTCTGGCTGTAAGAACTCTATCTGGGATTCCATCTACCACTGGGGAGCTGGGGACAAGCTTAGTGGTTTTCTATACCTGGAACATGTGCCCATTCACCTGAGGCCAGCTCCACATGGCCCTTCCCTGCTCCTCCTTTGGTCTGTCTGGCCTGTGAGGTTTCACATACTGGATAGATCCAGGGACTGGGGAAGCAGCCCCTGTATGCAAGACTGACTTCTGTGTGGACCCCTCACCTGAAGACATCTTTTCTCTCTGTTCCCGAAGCAAGCTCAGGATAACATCACGAGTATCCGGCTGCTGCAGCGAGAAGTCCTGCAGAACGTCTCGGTAATCAGATGGTGGGAAAGGCCACCCCTCCCACTGTAGTATGACAGAAGCCTTCCCTTCTGTCCTGGGCTGACCCTACACAGAACAGGGCTGGGCATGAGCCAGGACAGTTCGTACCTGGGCTTATGGGGAGAAATGAGGATCGAGGCTTGTAAGCATCTTCTACTGAGCCAGAGCTCTGCCATCAAGCTTTTTGTGCTTTACTTATATAAACACAGTGGGTGTCTGCTCAGGTGATTCCTGTCTTCTACGTCCACCCTTGTCTCTCACCCATTACCATCTTCTCTTTCCCATCAAGTCCATGGGTGAGCACAGATGTACTCAGATCCCTGAGAGGTACCCAGCCTAAGGGACCAAGGCTGTACAGAGCAACTGCTGGGTTAAGGGATGTTAACTTTCTCTTTTGTTCTCTTTCTGTCACTTTCCTGCCTACTCTCAACCAAAGCCCAGGTTTAGGGCTTTCAGGGTCCTTCACATCCCCATCCTGGAGAGGCTCTGTTTGGAGGAAAGGACCTAGGGCCCAGATGGGGAGCCAGGCATGCTGGGAGCTCAATTTGAGTCCGCCAGGGGTGCTGGGTGACCCTGGGCAGCCACCTCTCTCTCCATATGGCCTGGCCCCCTCTTGTGTAACAGCCCTATGCTCTGAGGCTCCTTCCAACCTCACCTCATCCTCGTCTCCTGGCTGAGGGAGCATGTGGGTTGTCTCCGGGTGAGCAGAGGCCCCAGCTCTGTGGTGATCCAGCCCTTTCCCCAGGACGCCGAGAGCTGTTACCTCATCCATGACCTGCTGAAGTTCTACTTGAACACTGTGTTTAAAAACTACCACCGCAAAATAGTTGAACTCAAGATGCTGCCCTCATTCTCTACCCTGGCCAACAACTTTCTTTTCATCACGTCAAAACTTCAACCCAGCGTGAGCAGAAGAAAGCCAGGACCAGGAGCCTGGGAAATGGTGTGTTTTGGGAATCCCTCCCCTCCTCTTATGCTGTCCTGGCTTTTACTCCACAACAGGGAATTGTGGGTGTCATGGACACGTGTTCTGGGTTCAGGTCTAGGTTTGTGTCTCTTTAGCTGGGTGACATTTTGCAAGGTGTTCAGCCTCTGGGCTTCAGTTTTATCATCTGTAGAATGGAAGTGACACTCTCACATGGAAGGACAGCACAGGTTATTTTGAGGACACAGGAGTCATCCCTGTTCTCTTGGGCTTGGGAGCCCCGGCAGCACCACTAGGAGGGTGAAGGAGCTTACCTCTAATATTCCCTAACTCTTGGCACAACTTTTTCTTTTGCTTTTTTCTGTTATCTGGCAGAAAAATGAGACGCTCTCTGCCAGTGACAGTGCACATAGGCGGTTCCTGCTGTTCAAGAGAGCATTCAAACAGGTAAGGCTGGGCCCTGGGGGCTCGCCACCCAACAAGGACAGACTAGTGTGGGCTGTCCCTCGGACCCCTCACGCAGAGTTTATCGAAGATGACTCCACCAGACTTGCCCCCAAACCCACCTGACTTAGCAGGAGCACAGAAATATTTGCATTAATTAGCATGTGCTTTTTATAAGTGCCAAGAAGTGGTCTTTTTTCTGCTAGTTTTCAAATTAAAGTGCTACTATATAAACATGGGAAATTTTATGAACTTTTCCTAAAATAAGCCACCAAAGGAATTCCAAATTTCATTCCCAGCACACACTCACCTTCATATAAAAAAACCCCACATATGATTTTGATCACTTTTTGGAGGAAAAGACACACGAGCCTGTAAAACATACGGTGCTGAGCAAAACCATGACGGAAAGCGGTGACCCGGGCACACGGTGGACTCAGGCGTTGGCCCCAGCCACCGAGAGCGGCATCTGTCCTGTGGCTCTGCTTGTTAGGGAGCCATGTACTTTTCCCTTGCTCTTTTCCCACTGCTGCTCGGTGCTGTCTCTGTCCTCCCCTGAAGTGGACACTCGCAGATGGGGGACAAGAGATGGGCAGGTGAGCTCATCAGAGGCCATTCCATAGATGGCCCAGGTCGTGACGAGGGGTCAAGTCTGTGTGGGCAGGAATTGGAAAGAAAGCTGGTCTCTTAGCTAACTGATTCCAACTCTCCTCTTCCTGCAGTTGGAGATCGAAGTGGCTCTGACCAAAGCCTTCGGGGAAGTGGACATTCTCCTGACCTGGATGGGGAAGTTCTATCGGCTCTGAATGCTCAGACCACACTCGCTCTCCATGTCACTTCAAATGCGTGTCCCTCCCTGGCTGTCCTCTGGACACTGCACACTCTTGGCCATGGGGCCCCTTGTTGGCCAGGCCCGTCTTCACAGACTCTGCTTCAGCAGTCCAAATGGCAGTTGTGGAAGGCTCCCCCGGACGCTGTGAACACTCTACACAGTGAATTCCCGTATTTATTATGACCCTATTTAATTACTGTCATTATTTTAACTGAAGTTTTATTTATTTGTGAGACTGTAAGTGCCATGAAGGCAGCAGAGTAGACTGTCTCATGCTTCTCTTTTGTTACCAACAATCCTGGCTATAGAATGGGGCAGTGGATGGGTACTCAGTAAATGCTTGAACTGGATTTTTTGGTCTGTCTTTGGGTTGGGGAGGAACACTGAGGAATAACTGGATATGAAATTGAACTTCAGTGCATGGAAATCACTTATCTGCAGGGATAGAGCTCTGGGCTAGAATGAGGGGCAGCAGTTTGAAAAGTGAGTGATAAATGATAGTGTGTAAATTACCCAGCTCAATGCAGATTCTCACTGAACATTTCATTTCTGGCTCATACTCTCCACTCCGCCTTTGCTGCTTAGAATAGTGGCAGGGTCAAGCTGGCACTGCTGCAGTCCTCATACTTGGGTGGACCATCCCTTCTGGGGTGACAGTCTTTGCTAATAAAAGGAAACTCACTTCAGTCCTGGCAGCATTTCCCTTCTGCTTCTGGACCAGTGCCTGGGAGACTACACCATGCATCTGGGAAAGGTCTTTCCAATGGCAAGGCTAATATTAATGCATCTGTAGCCTCAAGCTCTGGTTGAGCCTCGTAGTTGACATTGACCCAAAGATAGTGTCTAACTGCTTGCACTTTTTAAGAAAGCGAGTATACGGAGGAGGTGGGATGCCTCTTCTTTAACGACAGAAGTGCTGTCACAGAGCTCCTGACCCCCAGGACCCTGGAGGTGCTTTCCCTCCCTCTGAGAGCAGAGAGAAGTAATGGCTTGGGATAGTTAAAACAGACAAAAGTTAAGATGAATGCACACATTCAGTGCTAGGATGTGGAAAAAGGATAAGGAGCTGACAAAGACTATGCTAGGCTCCGGTTATGTAGCTGCAGCAAGAGAGAGCGACTACAGGAGGCTTTATGCATATATACATGTTTATATCGATGTGTCTATCACTAACACTAACAAGCTTGGTTCTGGAAATGTAGACTGTTATGACATCAAAATGAATTGTCCCTACCACATAGGATTTGAGACAGACAAATAGAAGCTTACTAGTAAGTGCCAGCCCTCAGATCAGGACAAAGCTGCTCCCAGGGGTGTTTTTATTTCAGGCCCTTTCCAGCCTGTGGAGCTGAGGCAGATCCTCATCACGCACCCTGAAGGCCTTCTGTTTGTGCGAGGCCCAAGCCTGGGAAGGGCCGCTGCTGCCCATACCCAAGCCTGTTGCCATAGGATCCAAAGTCAAGGCAGCAAAGACCCCAGGACCTCAGACACTGATGGGACACCCTGCAAGCCTGTTCAATAGAGAAGAAGCAGATGGCATCGAGATGAGTGCTCTGCCTGCCTGGAGCCTCTGTGATGAACACAGGGCTGCAGATGTGTGCGAGGTCGGCTGGAGGCAGAGCTATGTTCAGAGCACAAGTAGCTGTGCATGAGCATTGAGATGGGGCATGAGATGTGGGTGGTGACCACATTCCTGCTAAGAAATGGAGCAGGCACTGGAATTCAGTAGACAGGCAGGACTCACTGGCGCCATGGTATGGCTCCAGGAGGACAGCTGGGCAGGGAGGTCAGGCTGAGGATATTGATGTAGTCATCTTCATCTGAATCAGGGTCCTCCCTCTGGGCAGCAGGCAGGTGGCAGATGGTCACATATTCACAGCTGGTCTTATGTGATGGGGCATAAAGCCAGGGAGTTTCAGGCACCTGGGAACACCAAAGAAGCATCACTGGATCTGGGTGTGAGTTTAGCATCCCTCCAGGTGTCCACAGCAGGACACGGGGCCATAGGCACGGTCTCTGAGATGGCTGAGTCCAATCAAGTAGGCAAGCCCTGGGGGTTGTCAGAGTGGTGCCTCACCGCAGATAACTGGAAAACACTCAGATAGAATGTGGGCAGGAAATGCCTTCCACAGGGCTCAGACTGAGACGGTGTGGCTAAGCACAGGTGTGGAGACCCAGTCACACAAGGATGTCCCTCAGGGATAAGACCTGTGACTTGTGGGATAAATATGCATCTTCCAGGGGAGCTATTCAGAGGTAGGCTGAGTCACCCCTGGACCTCTGTCAGGGCTTGGAGTGGCTGTGACGTGGCATGAGAGCACATTCCAGAAAGGGGCTTGGCAGCTAGCAGGAGGGAGACTGCTGGCCACGTGGGCACGGAGGCGCTTTTCTTTCCTAGACAGACAGGTAAGGCATCTACCTTTGCGATGGACAGTTTTCAGCAGATAGGGCTGTGCCAAGAACCGGCATGGCACGACCTCTGTAATAGCCAGGGAAAGCCACAGTAGGGGCTCTAATTACATATTTATTTATTTATGTGTGTGTGCTGAGACAGCGTCTCACTATGTAGCCTGGGGTGGTCTTGAGCTATCTTCCAGGTTCAGCCTCCTGAATGCTAGGATTATGGGTGTGTGCCACCACACTGCCTCTCCAGCCTATGTTTTATTTTTCACTTAAAGACAGGTTCTTGCTAAGTTGCCCAGGATGGACTCAAACGTGTTATCCTCCTGCCTCAGCTTCCCAGAGTGCTGAGATTTCAGGCATGTGCCATCATGCCTGGCTTCTGATCAGGTTTTAAAGAGAACTACAGACTAGAAGTACAGTGCCCTAACACAGGAGGCACTCCGTAAGTGCTCACTGGAAGCAACTTTTTTGTTCTGAACTTTAAAAAGAGGGAAGCATTAGTAGCTTGCTTCAAAAATGTATCTCCTGTTGCCTGTTATAGTGTAGTTCATCACTTAAATTAGTGTACTTGGCTTAAAAAAATGAGAACACTCCCTTTGCAGGTTGATCAGCCATTAAGCATCCACACACCTCGCTGGAAATTTGTTCCAAGATTTTTGTCCCAGTAGTGGGAATGAGAGTCTCAAGTGGAGAGGTAGGGACTGGACAGGTGCAGCCCTGCGTGGTCACAGGAGCACTGGGGAGGAAAGGGCTGGCCGGTGGGAGAGTCCGCAGACACTGCGGGCCACTCTGGAGGGCGAGCCTTCTCCAGCAGGGGCGGGAGGTAGCCTGAAAGAGCTGTCTCACTCTCTTTTTAGAAAGGCACCGGTGTCCAGCCAGGGACATCGTGCATCCTCTCTAGAAGGGTGGTGTTGCAGAGGGCAGGTGTTGCTGTGTGACTAAGCTATGGCCAATGGGATGTGAATGAATCGGATGCCTGAAATTTGTCGTGAAGCAGCATCTTTCTCTTTCTCCCCAAGGGCCAGAGTGTGGGTTTGAGCACCCCACTGAGGACTGACCACAGCCTAGGCAAGACTCCAGGGGAGGTGGGGCGAGAGGTCCCCGATGACCTTGTGGCTCAGGTACCTCTTCCTGCCCCTTTGCTCGGCTAGCATTGCCTGACCCTGCGCTTTAGGGTCTGAGGCAGTAGCTTAATCTACACTCTAATTACAACACAGACGGTCGCCGCTTGTAGTTTTACCCCCCTTTCCCCAAACCAGCGGTGTGGTCACTGTGGGGCACCTAGGAGGGTAACATATTTCCTCTTCTTCATTTGGAAAACAAAGGCGCTGGGTGGTTTGCAGGCTTTTCACCTGGACGCTTGGGTTCTCCGTGCCACCCCTGGCTTCTGATCAAGTCCCTCTCACGGCGGGAGGACTCTGGTCCGCGTCTCTCCCAGGTCCTCCGGGTCTATTCTAGCTGCCTCCGGTGGGAGGCGCACATACTCCTCTAATCTGAAGCGTCGGCTAGAAAGTTCTCCCTCGGATTAAGGTGAAACTGGACAACTTCCACCTGCTTAGGAGCTCCCTGGAATCCACCCTCCGTGTGCACGCGGGTTACCATCCGTCACTCCCTCCACGCACCTGCACCTAGCACCCATTTAGCTTGGCTAACAGGTAACCACGGTTACCGTAATTCCCGGGAAAAGAGTAGACGGAGGCGGCTTTCCCTGTCTCAGGCTCGCGAGCAGCGGGAAAGCAGGCGTCCTACGCTTAGCCCTAAACTCCGCGCCCTCGGGGCGGGGCCGGGCGGGCTTACCTGGGGCGGGGCGAGGGGCGCCGTGGCTGCGCACTCTGGGGGCGGGGCCTCCCTGGGGCCTGCAGGGGGGTCAGAAGGGCGGGGTGAGGCGGGGCCGAGGCCCC